AATATATGTTAATATACAAGGAGCCTCAGTGGAGCAGTGGTTAGAGTGCAGTACTGCAAGCTACTCCTACTGCAATTTGGCAGATCGAATAGCCACCAGGCTCAAGGTTGACTCAGCCTTCCATCCTTCAGAGGCGGGTAAAATGAGGACCCAAATTGTTGGGGACAATACGCTGACTCTGTAAACCACTTTGAGAGGGCTGTAAAGCACTATAAAGCGGTATATAAATTTAAGTGCTATTGCTATTAATATACACATAGAATACATTATCCAAACCAAGCTCTTGGAAAATACAAAAGAAATGTTTTTTAAAGGCAACATTTGCAAGGTCACCAACTCTGTTTTATATTTTCCAAAAGATTCAGTAATCCCATAAGGATCCCTTGACTAAGTAAGAGGAGACAAGCTGAAAAAGGTTAGTGATCCTTGCCCTATAGTGCTCAGCTTATATATATATGTATGCTCCTTCATCCACTGGTAGGAATCTGGATTAAGCCCAGTGGGTGCTGCTTAATTATAGTTCATTCCTGGTTGTCTCAATAGATCTTCTGCTTTGTAAATGTGTTTGGGAACAATCTTATGTTTTTCAACACAATACTGTATAATTTCTGGAAGGTGCTAATAAGCCATGTGTGTTTCCTCTTGAACAGGCTGAGCAGCTGATGGAACGGCTGAAAGCTGAAAGCACTACAAGTTGAGGGAAACCTGCCTCTGAATTGTACCATCTTTCCGACCTTTGAATACCGATTAAAGGATTGGATGTAGTTGATAACATGCTAGACTTTTTAAAACAACTACTGAATTTGCTGCTATATGGTGTTTGAACTAGTTGTTAGCAAACACTGTACGTTAAATTTCTCAGGCAAATATCTGAATGCAAGAACGTATAAGATCACAAATACCTATCTGTTCAAAATGCAAAGAACCCTTGAAACTTAAGAGATGCCATTAAAATTTAATAACTGTATCTGACTTTGACTGTTTTTGTCTTAATGCAAGGTTTGTGCCTATACAATACATTCCTGATCTTTTTTAGTATTGTCTTGGTGCTGTATTCTGTCACTCCAAGTATACATGATTACAGGCACAGAGTGGCTAACAAGCCATTGTCTGGAGTATGACTTATTTACTCTGTACTTTCAATGTAAAACTTTAGTTGCTACATTGAATTAGAATAAGAATAGGTACTTGAATGTGAACAGTTTTAAATCATTTTATATTTAAATGCATGTATTAAGGTAGTTAGGGAGTAATAGAACATTTTAAAATCATGCAATAGTTTGTTTGGACTTGGAGTTTAGCATAAAATATCAAATTATTCAATGTGGGTCTTGGATTAAAAAATGCAGAAATTGTAGATTCTGTCGAATCTAGCATGAAATGACTTTCACATGTACTTTTTAAACTATATAGGCAGGTATTAACACAGATCTGTTATAGCTAAATGATTTCAAAGAAGCACTGACATTGTGTGTTTTAGCATGCAGTAGACTAGTATTCAGAAGATGCCAAAAGTAATCCATGTTGTTTTTTATGGTTTTAAAACCTGCTTTATTTATTTAAAACTTAGCATGCATTTAATATGACTCCTAACTGCTTGAACTATTGAAAAGATTTATTCAATTTACTGTTAAGAGTGATGGATAGGCATGTTTAATCATGTTCAAATGTTAATGTTCTAAAATAAAAAGATACTGCTCTGATAATTTATGTGATGGAACTGTGAAACATATAACTTAATATGTTATGAAAAGGAAACCTTTAATAAAATTGTTACCCATAGATCTCTTGAATATTTTTGGACAAAGCTGAATTTAAAAATATTGATTTATATGTGTTACTAGATTTCTTCAAAAACCCTAATCCATTTTGTTTAACACCAGGGTCATAGTCATACTGATATTTATTATTTGAATGCTAGTATACTACTAAAGCAAAGACTTTTATTCAGCATATCAGTTGCAGGCTACCAGCTCTTAATTATGGTATTTGTAATGTAGAGGAAAACTTTATTACTATTTTCAAACAAGTCTTAATCACCCTCTTAAACATATCTGTGTGATAATCACTTCTAGTTTTTTAGCATTTTCAATTTGAATAACACATCTCATGAAACATACTGAGTTATTTTCAATCACATATGTTGACTAAATTCCTTTAATGAGTACATATTTCTTGTTGTGTAATGAGCAAGTATTTTAAAACATACTTTGATTTTATGACAGTTGCTTCCCTATGTTCTAAACCAGGCAGTCATTTTGATGTTTCAAGAACTTTAACAGATTTCTGATTTAATCATGAAATACCTGGATAATCTTTATCTTCAAACAAAGTAATAACTACACTATCATCTTTTCCTTGCCAAAGCATTTCACCTTCAAAGTCAACCAGGCCATACTTCCTTGCTCTTAAGAGGACACCTACTAGTTTATTGGATATAGTCACATATCTATCAAAGAGCTGTTTAAATGTTATTCTCACTTGCCCATCCTGTTCCTTCTTTCCAGTGTTACGTATAACTAAGCATAGTTCTTCCATTTCTTTGCCTATATGTGCGTGTGCATCTTTTCCTCTCTGCTCAGTTTTGGAGCCTTCAGGTGGTCTCCCATAAGTGGGATCCCCTTTCTCAGTGCGTAAAGTTACTTGGTTGCCATTGCTAAATGGGTTTCGTTGCTGATAAGCCACACGATCCTTGGACCAGCTCTGCCAGTTTCTTGCAAGTTGTCCAACAATGCCATGACAACTACTTGCTGCTCCAGTATTGTGTGTTTTGCTTTCTTCCATGCCATGAACAGCTTTAATGGCAAATAAAGAAAAGGAGAGGGTCTGGATTTGAAAAGGTGAAGGCAAGAAAACAAATTACAATAAATACTACCAAAACTATTTTGCATGATACTCTGTCAAAATAAATCTTTCAGAAGCCCGAGTACTTTTTACTAATGTTAAATCTAAGGAATCACAATTTTCGATCACAACATAATTTGTGCCAGATTATATACAATGATTCATCAGTTCAATTTATTTCATAAACGTATGTTTTATGACGTGAAAAAGACAACCAACTTGTGTGTGGTAGTTAGATTGGATTATTTCTATTAAAAAAAGTTAAAACTGCTTGATTTTCTTTGAAAATCAAAACCAACTCTCAATCCCCAAAGGTTTCTACCATAATCTGGAATGGATATATAACTTGCTCCAAAGTGATCCTGCTTTTCAGATGTAAAGTCAAATGATCTACACTTTAGAGCTTGGCTTCTGGTAGCTTCATAGACACATCCATGTAAATGAGGAGCTATTTATCATATTTTTTCCCTTTTATCCATAGGTTCAAGATAGCATCCTTCCTCTTTTCCCCAAAGCTATGAGATATATTGAGCTAAGAGAGAGAGAGAGAGTTGGGGCCAAAGGCATCCAGTGGCTGACTTAAACATGTCACTTTCCACACCTCATCCAACATCTTAATGACCATATGTCCACTTAGTGTTTTTGTCTACAGCACAGAAATGAGTTGCAACTGTCTTCCAGGATGTTTTTTGCCCTTCCAGTCTAAGATTGTTTGGGGGTGGAGGGGTTGTTTCCCATCCAAATCTACCACTCCTTAGGTTTCTGATTGGCTAAGGCTGGCCACATGCTGCTGGACTCTTGAGGTGACCGATAAGCCATTATACTTTAAATTTGAAACAGCATCTAGCTTCACAATCCTTGTGATTCCATCTCTAGCCTTTCCAATTTATTAATTTATTCAATTTCTATAGCCACCCAACTCAACCAAGTGACCTTGGGTGGCTTACAATTCTAAAATTATAAAACAATTAAAAAAAAAAACCAAACCCATTTTTTTTACAAGAGTAAAACTTCCATAAAATAAACCGTTCATAATTTTGGGCGCAGCTTTAACCCAAATAAGTATAAATCGGCTAAACCGTCAAATGTCAAATCAGTTCTATGGAAATGGCATTATATATCAGAGGTTTCCAAACTTGGCAACATAGCTGGCTGGAAAATTCTGGGAGTTGAAGTCCACAAGTCTTAAAAGTTGCCAAGTTTGGGGACCCATGTTATATATGTTCGAGATAAATGATGGCAAGATTGCTTCCATTTTCTGAAATTTAGACGACAGACAGACAGTTTGTGCTTCTTTATACTTACTTATCCCGTTGCGGAATTTCCCTGGAGAAAGGAGTCAATTCTTGTCTTTGAAGCACTGCGAAATTTGGCTCTCAGCGGGTTTCAAGCTACAAACATCCTGCTTGGACTGAAACCAGTGGACCAATCAGAGAAGAGCCATCCCCTTATTCCTTACTACAGGGTGGCGCTCCCACCGCACGGCCGGACGCCTTCTTAAGGTGGAGCTAACGTTCAACGTTGTAATTGTGTTGTTATCCTAGATCCGGTGATTAGCATCCTAAAGAAAAGGATGGTGTTTTTTTTTCCCCTCCTTGTTTTGGAAATTCGGTCTTTCTGTTCTGTTGCTAACCTCCATCTCAGCTACGAGCCCCGATTTCCTAAGCGGATCTCGTTTACCGTGAACCGATTCACCCATTCCGGGCCGAGGTGCAAATTTCGCCGAGCTGGGGGGAAAAAAAAGACGCGAGTTCTCTTGTTCCTCTCAGCAAACTGCAGCTCTCTCTCCGTTAACAATAAATATTGCAGATCAGAACCCGCGAAAGGACCTGGCTGGGTCAGCTTTCCCTACCGGTGCTTATTTCTTTACTCGTCTTAACAACCGAACCTATTGAAAAAAATTACACATTTTTTTACTAAGCCAAGCAAAAGTTTGCACGGATGTAGTTGCATGGCGGCGGGGTCCGTAAGGACGCAGTAAGTTCTGTAGGCAACGAAATTTCATTTTAATTTAAATACACGCAGATTCGTGTACATTCAGAGTGACAATAGAGTTGGCCTGCCGCCTTCCCCACCGTTCAGATCGATAAAAACAACAACTTGTACTTCTCTTTCCAACGCCGGCCGCTTCGACCCCGCTTCCTCCTTTCCCCAGCATTGTCCCCGCCCCTCCTGCTCCACGCGCGCGCGTACGGCCGCCTCTTACTTAAGAGCGCGAGCCGGGACTATGGCGTTGGGGAGAACGGGCTACGGGCAGTACTTGCTGCTCCTAGCGCAGCAGAACGTAGAATTCCGGTTGCCGGTGAGTCCGAGGTGTGGGGCGCCTGCCATTTGGACTTTCCCGGGTGGGGGGGGCTTTGAGCGCGCGCCACGCTCGCGCGCCTGCGGATCTGTGGCAGCCGCGCCTTGGTTCGGGCGCTTTAATTAAGTCTTTTTCCCTTATCCCCGCGCTGCAAAAGGAAATCGGAAGTCCCGCAACCTTGGGTTTTTTTTTTTTGTTTGTTTTTGCAGACGAATATAACGGGGTCGGGTAGGCCTTTGGTCGTCCCTGCGTTGGCATGGTGACGCGCCAGGTGGCGGGTTTCCTACTAGGACCCTTGGAGCATTTATTTCCCCAAGCTGCAAAAAAATAAAATAAAGGTGAACGACTCGACTCGTAAGGAAGGAGTGGGGTGGAAGAGAGATCGTTATGAGAATTTCTATTAGTTCAAGTTATAGTTGTGTAGCCCGTGGCATTTTGAGCATAGCTTCAGAGTATTAAGTAGGATTTTTATTAAAGTAATTATGATTGTGTGCTCTCAAGTTGTCAGTTGAGAAGTGAGAAGAACTGGGTGAGAAGTTACTGGTCACTTTTTACTGTTTTACCACCGAGAGCATTTTGGCATACTGTGTAACGGTGTGGTATGCTGGATGCTCTGCAGTGGATAAGAAGATGCTCCAGAGAGTTATAAACACAGCACAGAAGACCAGATTCTTCCCTAGAGCACTACAAATCTCCACAGACAGTTCTCATCCTTGATATTCATATTTCGAACTGTTACCATCAGGGAGGTGTTATAAGTGTCTTAAAATGAAGACTAATAGATTGAGAAACAGTTTTTTTCCCCCAAGGCAGTAATTGTCTTGAATCAAAGTGTGCATTTGTGATGATTTATTATTATCATTATCATTATCATTATCATTATTATCATTATTATTATTATTATTATTATTATTATTATTATTATTATTATTATTATTATTATATACTCTGTAGTATGATTGTGATGTGGTGTTTGGGGCACTGTGCTGGAGTAGCTTTCAAATTTCATTGTATTCGTGGAATGCAATGACAACAAAGGTATTCTATTTTAACAATTAGCGATCATGATGATCTGCTCCTACCTTGGTCTTTCACATTTTACTAGGCGGGATGCCTGTTGCTGTAACTGAGTGTAACATATCAATATGGAAGTTGATTGCAATACACTTTGTAACGGGAGAGAAAGAAAAGGTTGGATAGAATTGCAGGAACCTCAAACCTTGGACAGACTCTTTACAGCTTCTTTATGTAGATTTCTATTGAAGATTCAATCTGAACATCAACATGAGTACCAGAACTTCCCTTGGCAGCCATCCTGAAACACTTTACTAGTTAATGTAAAGGCTACTGGAGAGGCAGCTTGGTGTAGGTGTTAAAAAGAGATAAAAGACCATGAATTCTACTCCTGCCTTAGGCACAGAATCCATGGAGTAACCTTGGGCCAGTCACTTTCCCAGCTCTAAGAAAGGGGCAATGGTAAACCAGCCATGAAAAACCTTGCCAAGAAAACTGCTGGTACTTGTCTAGGCAATCTCTGCCTAGATTACGATTGGACACTTTCTGCTTCCCTCTGCGAGGTTGGGCCAACTACCACATTGGGAGGTGAGAATGGATGAGGAAGTGTAAATGCTACCTGCTGAGAAAGCAACTTGCCCAAATTTTCTCACACTGCATCAACTGTATCTTTCCACTCCGCACTGCATGGAGAACATTCTACTCCATTTGCTGCACTTCATCCTCATTCACTCAAATGCTGCTTTTCCAGTTGGATAGCCCTGTCCCCATTTGACTTAGTGTCAGGTTCGGTAACCTGAAATATAGCTTTGCCTTCTCTTCTTTTTCCTGCCAAGGTACCACTGACAAACCCAGGTTTGTCAGTGGTACCTGGGTTTGTTGTTTTCAGTTTTCAAAAGTCATACTCATAGAAAGGAAGGAGTTGGCTGTTTTATTTGTGTGTGTTTATATTTTTCTGCGGAATAAGTTGTAAATATTTTAATGGGCCTTCTTCCCATCTTTTCAATATAGCGAAGTAATATTTGGCTGTACCTACTATGGAAAGAGTGGGAGGAGAAAGCAACTGCGGCAACTAGCATTCTGGGTTTTCCAATATGACTTACAGAGTGAAAACTTACTCAGCCTTTGGATTATTCACCACTAATATTATTTTGTGCCTTTGAATCGGTTTTTGGTTCGTGGTGACAGGCCTGGATAGGTTCCTTCAATTTTCTTGGCAAGATTTCAGAAGTGGCCTCCCATTTCCACCTTCCTGGGCTAGTGAGAAAGTGACTAGCCCAAAGGCACTCAGTTGGTTTTGTGCCTAAGGTGGGACTAGAACTCACGATCTCCTGATTTCTAGTGTGTTGCCTTCATTGATACACCAAACGGGCTGTCCTGAAGTCATACTTAAAGAAGTCAGCCATAAGTTGTATTTTTTAAAGGATAAAGAATACTGTAATAATGCAATAACAGATGATTTTAGGATGTTTATTAAACTTCTGTTTCACAAATGATTTATCATATCTTACTTTCTTCTAGGAAATACAGTCTTTACTTTCTCTCTGTGACGGAAGGTTCAGCAGTTCACAAGAACTGAGATTAAAGGTAAGTATTAGATAGAAGATGAAATGTGTTTTTCATGAGATTGTTTGGGGAAATGAATATTTTTGCAGCCAAGCTTTAATCTTAATCATGATAAAAAATCTTATGGTATATTATACCTAGGATAATAAGGAATGTTATTTTAATTACATTGATGCAGTGTTTCATTTGCATGAAATAATTTGAAAAGTATAATGTGGGAAACAAAAATATTTCCTGTGAAAAATGTTGACCATTGTTCAGTGCCATGAAAATGCAGACTATGTTCCCAGAAACGGTATGCATATATATTGGGCCCTTCTTTTGGATCTGAGATTTTTCTGGCCACGTGTCTAAACTTTGAGAATTGATACCATATCTTTAAGTTGGGTGACAGAATACCTTGGCAGCTGGCCCTGTCCTTGCAATCTCTGGATAATCATGGAAGTCTGAAGGACATCACCTTTTCTTGAGACTTCCTTTGAGGAGCAGATAGGCCAAGAAAAGGAGCATTGTCTTGCCAGTGAACCCTGCTTTGAAACAGAATAGAACAATCTGGGAGCCCTGAATTCCAGAATTGTATGGTTGCTGAGCAGAATATATGGATAGGTTCATCCCTGGAATGAAAATGAGCCATTTGCTTCCTTATCTTGGCATTTATGTGACCATACAGGTAGTCCTTGATATACAACCACAGTTGACCCCAAAATTTCCATTGCTGAGTGAGATAGTTGTTAAGTAAGTTCTGTTTCATTTTACAACCTTTTTGCCACAGTTGTTCAACGAATCACTGCAGCTGTTAAGTAAATCATCTTGTCATTAAGTGAATCTGGCTTTCCCCATTGACTTTGCTTGTTGGAAGTCGGCTGGGAGATTACAAATGGTTATCACAGGACCCCAGAACAGTGCAACTGTCATAAATACATGCCAATTGCCAAGTGCCTGGATTTTGATCACGTGATCATGGGAATGCTTTATTATTATCATTAGTGTCAGAGTACAACATGTGTAAAATGAGATTGGCTGAGCTTCCCTTCGTGCATCCCACCCCCAACACAACTCACAGTGAGGATAGAATTCCCTAACCCAGTCCCAATCTTATTACACCATGTGACCTTGTTGCACAATGCGGCAAGTCTGTCAAGTCTACTGCAATGGTTGTATGTGTGAAAAATGGTCATAAATCTTTTTTTTTCAGTGCTGTTGTAGCTACAAACTATCACTAAACAAATGTTTGTAAGTTATTAACTACCTGTATTTAAACTCCTGCAAAATATCTTGTATCTCTCTCTGCCTCTTTTATTGGACTGATGAGAGATTTTAAAAAAAAATGTGGGCCTTTTTTTCTTCCCAGTTTTTTGGTGGAATTTCAGGGACCAACAGTTTCAAATCTGGTCCAAATTTGGGGTCACTAAAATATTTCATGAATCAGTTTCCAGACCCTTGTTGGCTAAAACAAGCAAACAAAGCAAGCAAGAAAAAAAAATTGTTTCCAATACGCACTGGGAATATATTTTGCTATATTTTATCTTCATTTCATATTTTTCAACATGTCTCCCCTCCCCTTTTCTCTAATTTGTATCTTGGCAACTGCCACCAATGTATCTTGCTGGACATTTAAATAGTATTTTCCAACACAGCATTGTACATCATCTGCTCTTCTTTGTAATTAATTGGTTTCTCCCTAAGGAAAGCTAAAGTTCTACTCTAGAGCTTTGCTGTCCTTAGTAGCATCAGTTCAGGCTTGATGTGATAGTTACTAATTAAAGGAAGAGCACCAAATAGGTATTGTGAACAGCAAGATTGCAACTCTCCAGTGGCAGAGGTCATAAACAGTACAATCCACCTCCTTCTTCACAAATGGAAGGTACAGTTGAATGGGTAGCATCATCTGTTTTATATTTTTCTCTTCTCACGTTCAATTGCTTCTGTCCCTTCCGGATCAGTGGGAGACAACGTAGAAAACATGAATAAAAACATGGGAGGATTAATTAGATAGCTGTCCTAAGTGTAATCATTAGGAGGAGAGAGGGATCAGATACTTAGGCCTGCTATATAAAAGTTGCAAATGTTGGTTATACATTCATGAAGTTCAATATACTTTTTTGATTCCACATAGCAAACATAATGTAAGGGTGTAAAATTCGAAGTGCCCCATGGGGTTTGTTATCATGCATTCATAATGGAAGCAGAAAGAAGTTTAATTCTTCAATCTCAGGAACTATAGGAATTATTTTTTTGTTGATGTTTGCTGACCACTGGTTTAACTGAACGGGAATACAGACTTTAAAAATAGATGATGTTATTTGCAGCTGAATAGCTTTGTGGGTGCATACTGGAAATTAGCATTAAAAATCTCATTAATGGTTCCTGTATTTAAAAGAAGAAAGATAGAGCAGGGGTTGCCAACCTTTTGGACCTCAGGGACTACCAAACTCATAATTTTAAATCCCGCGGACAAGAGGCCCTGGGAAAATTCCCAAAAAAGTCTGCAGGAAAATTCCCCACCTCGTTTTCCTACTGATCGATAATTCTTTATTTGGGATCACAGGATACTGTCTCCAGCTCTCTTCTCAGGGGGAGAGAGAGAGAGAGACTTTTGGCTTCATGCAAAGAAAGCAGCAGAAGCAGCAGAAGTCTTTCTTTCTCTCCCGCATATTCTACCAGAAATGAGTCTTTGTGAGACTTGTCACTCCGGCGCAGCCTCTTGAAGCAGGATGCCTTGCAGGGTCCCAAAGACTCATTTCTGGCAGAGTTTGGGGGAGAGAAAGAAAGACTTCTGCTGTGGGGTGAGTGGGGCAAGTTCCCCCCTCCACCCTTTTCCTTATGTTGTTCGCAATGCAAGAGATGCAAACCTTGTGTTCCTGCGGGCTATGTGGGCAGCGCAGTCTTGTGTTCCTGCACAGCCTGGATTAATTTTTGCAGGGGGGGTGCTTTGGGGATGACATTTCTCTGCGGACCACCAAAATTTTCTCACAGAGAAAATCCCTGGCCCACTGATTGGCAACCACTGAGATAGAGGATAACCACAGATTTTCATGCTTTAAATGTGAAAATATTGCAGAATGGATTATCTAGCTTTAATAAAATCTTTAAATTACCTGTCTCATAAACTCTGCCTGCTCATCCAAGGACACAAAAAAATTCCTGCTGAAAATCCCATGTAATTTATCCCCATCTACCCCACTCCGCCATAGGTAGCTTCCACTCTTCCACCCCTCTAGAAGCTCATTAAAACTTGGTTGTTTCAGAAAGCCTTTGGGAACTGAATGCTCTAGAGTACCTGCTGTCAGGGTTACTATATTAATTATAACGCTTGCCTACTATAATTATATGTTGTATTTCCATTATTATTGCACTGGCTGTGGCTGCTCCTTTGCAATACCACGTATTGTAGTTTTGATGGAAACATTTTATTAATGCTCCATAAATACATATGAAAAAAGAAACAAAGAAAGGAACAGAAAGAAAAGAAAAGTTGTAGCTGCCTAAATAACGATGTTATCGATTGCAGTGCTGTTCCTTGTAATAACTGCTGTTTTTTTCCTGACTTCAGAGCCCATTTTGGATTCTTGACTTGCCTTCGGAAGAGATAGCTAGAAGACTAATGAAACGAACAGTATGTGCAAAGTAAGATTGATGTTGTTAAAAAATAACAATAAAAGAGGGAGAATATCTCTGCTTCCCTTCTGCATTAAGGTTCCCTTTAAGCTCTCTCATCCTTTTTCTCCAGCACAGGTGGAAATCTCCCTTCCTCTCTCGCTGCCAATGCCAGTAGAACTTCGACTAGCTTAATGAATTGCAGTGTTGGAGTGTCCTGCTTTAGTTGTCCTCTCTAGGATGTTTAACAGACTAACACTTGAAAGGGACCTTGTAGATCATCTAGTCCGACCTCCCTCCCAAGCAGGAGACCCTAACACCATTTCTGACAAATGGCAGTCCAGTCTCTTCTTGAAAGTCTCAAGTGATGAACTCCCACAACTTGCGAAGGCAAGCTGTTGATTTACATCTGTGTTAACATCTTATCAAAAAAGAGACACTCTATTTATCTATTACTGTTTCTATGCATGAGACTAAATGATTTCAGGTTTGGTTTCTGATGGTGTGATGCAAGGAATTTTTCTTTTGTATGTTTTATTTGGTCCTTTTGTACAAATACCATTAAATGACTTGAAGTTGTACAGAATCAGTATTGAAAATTTTATTCATCTCTGCTGCAAAGCCACTGGAAGTAAATATGTAATCCTTATTTTGTAGACTTTAGAGAGGTTTAGTCTCCAGACATATACTAAACTTTGACAGAAATTTGCTGCTGCTCATTGGGATGTTATTTATTAATACAAGATTGTGAATCAGATGTTCTCTGCTTGAGATACTCTTTACAGAGAGCTGTCAAAAGAGATTGCATCTTGGCAGACTTACTTTTCAACATCTCTATTAACCCCTTAATATAATTAAGATTATATTCTATTATATTCTACTGTCTCTTGGTTACGAACAAATCAGAATGGTGCCACATCAAGGTAGCAAATTTTTATCAACAAGAATTAGTAGGCTTACAAACCAAGAAAATTATTCTAAAGAGGATCTGCTACCTCCTTTCTCTTCCTGACTTCCCTAATACAGGATAGCATTTTAAAAATAAGATTGATTGTGATCATATTCGCAATATAATCAGATTGATTTTTAAATATGTCCTGAAAATATGTATTCGCCCTTATGAATCGAGAATGATAAAAAATAATGTCCATTTGTTATGGTTTTTTTGCACTATAGATTTTTGACACATCAAGTGCGTTATATCTTTTTTCTTGCATTTTTCTAACACGTCAGAGCAATTTTATGACTGCTGTTCAAGAAAGACAATTCTGATGTATATAACACAATAACATTTAGAGTCTAGCTTGAGGTAACACTTAGCCCATCATTTTGGTCATCTTTTAGATTGTCAGTTGATTTCAACTTCAATTTTATTTTGCACATTTTACCACAGTTTTAAGCAGTGAATGTCTATATGTGAATGTAATGTATATTTGTGTATGGGTCTGTATATATTTTTTCTTGTAATAATAATTCACTGCTCTTATATTATTACATAGTGTAGGAGTAGTTACGGAACCTTGAGAGCAAAGTCAAAAGAGGAATCAGCCTAGAGTATCTGAATAGTCACAAATGGATGAAGTCCAGCCTCTCCTGAATTAAGTTAATCCTTAACCAGCACCAAAATAGTGCTGTTAGTTGAGTAGATTCCTGTGCATAGGCATGACTAGTAATAAATAAGTCTAATTGGAACATCACGTATGGCCTTGGTCTTTTGTGCCTGATACACTGTTTATAAACATGCTACAGGCCTTTGGCTCTGAAGAAATATTATCTATATATCTTTTAAAGTAAATTTATAAATTCTGTTTGAAATAACCACATTTGTAGAGAGAGTGGAAGTTTTTAATCAAAGTAGGATAAAAATGTTCTTGAAAGCCTGTATTTATTTGCTTTCAGATCAATATTTGAGCTGTGGGGTCATGGGAAATCTGTAGAAGAATTGCATTCTTCATTGAAGAATTATCCACTAGAGAAAATGGTTGGTATGAGAAAAAAATGTAAACTTTTTCATTTAGCATTTTCTTTTGTGCACCATATACCCTATACCATAATCAAAAAACTGTCTTGTTTTGTTTTAGGCCCCATATTTACAGTCCAACTTCACCTACAAAATAATAGTCCATGCATTCAACAAAACGCTAACACAACCAGAGAAGATTCAAAGAATAGATGTAAGTAATAGTTCAGTTCTTCGATTGCTTAAATATCTGTTATTTCATAATATTGCAGAGGGAAAACATAACAGAAGTACGTACATTGCAGCCTAGATAACATAACTTTGGAGAGCTAACATTCTTTTGTTGTTGTAGACATAAACCACAATTGCCTCTGTCCTGTCTTCTTACCTGAGGCACAGCCAAGTTGTCCTTGTTCATTCATTCAATAGTGTAACATTGCAAAGCCTTCATGTGCTCAAGAATTCATTTCATGCCTCCATGTGTATTCCCAGGGCTGCAACCAAATCTCAGACTAAGCTTCACGAAGCCCTCATGATATGTTCACATTTCTCTCTCATGAATTAACTATGAAAGGCATATGTACCTGTACCTAGAATTTAAGAAATTAATAATAGAAGAATTATGGACTTCTGTCTAATATTTATTTAGCTTTATTGGGTTTTGTTTCTTAATTTTATATGCTTATTTTATTTTTAAATAAAATGTGTTTAAATTTGTTTTGCTGTTGTGTTATATGATCATGAGCATTTGGGAGACAGGTGGTATACAGTACAAATATGTTAAATAAATACCTACATAAGCTGTAACCTAGACTCCTCTACATCACTGCTGATCTGTTGGTTTCTTATTAAAATTTAATCAGCTTTAAAGTCTTCCTAGCCCGGGGCTCAGAATTTTTCAAGTAGAGTCAGTCTTCCACTCATTTTTTTTCAAGTCAATGAAGAGAGCATTGTTTGCTCTGTGCCTTTTTTCAGACTATGTTATATCATAAGGCACACCATCAATGAATGATCCATGGGTCTCAGGCAATTGCCCAGTTCTCCATTTGTGCTATTCAGCACTCGGTCATTGTTTTGCTAAAAATTGGTGATAATACGACCAAATTTCTGTGGCAAGATTTTACATGTTTTTCCTTAAGGATGGGCATGACGCTTTTGATGATCCCAAATCACTATTTGTGGGGAGGAGAGATTTGGAGGATTTACTTCTTAGAAGTTTCCTGTGTCCATTAACACTCTAAAACATAACATAAAACAAAAAAGGGCTAAATAATTTAATTATCTGCATTCCGGGGAGATCACTGGATGTCCCCTTACAACTTTTAGGAAACTTACAATGCTCTGCTTTAGCCTCCCACCTTGTAGATCTATGAAATAATCTCTTCATAAAGCCTGTCAACTTTCTTGATTTCTTCTCACTTCAGATAGTATAAAAATAGCCTTCATATTTGGTTGCTCAATTGTCTTAAATATGATATATTCAAGGTGGGGCAACTACAGTCATCCACCATCTTGAAATTTTGCAACTCCCATCTCTCCAGCACACTTCAAGATTCAGCTGGACAATTTTTCAGTTTTGTTTAAGGAAGTAATTGTATAGAAAGAGTAAAATATATAGGAGTAGTAGCGTATTGTGGTTCAAAATGTAAAAAAGGAATGTCCAAGTAGCTAGCCAAAAATTAGAAACCAGCAGATGTGACTCTGCTTACATACTTTTGAATTGTGTATGAACAAACCTGTTTTGCAACTCCAACCATGAAGATCCTAGATGTTGGGAAAAGAGAAGAAAGGATTAGTTTTGGGCACGCTGCGTACATTTGCTTGGAAAACCATTGCACGAGCCTCCTATCGAGAACAATGGCTGGTGTTCCATGTCTGAGGGTGAACACTTTGGCTGAGCAGAGTGGAGGCAGGCAGAGACCCTAAAGGGTCCTGGGAGGCAAGAGGAGTCTGCCCCATCTGAACAGCAACTTGGAAGGGCCAGGCTACAAAGCCAACAATCTGTTAGTAAGAGAATGGGAAAAAAAAGTCAAATTACCCCTGGGATAGCCTGGCAGGATTGCCTGCATTGATATTTACCTTCCCCAAAGATCCTGGCAGTAAAAAGTGATTAGGTGAATTAAAACTCTCTACAGTTTTGATTTTAAAAAACACATGCAGCTCAAGACTAAAGCAATTATATATGCTCGTTGACCCTCAAAGGATGAAAAAAACCTGTGATAACCTGGGCCATGGCACAAAGGCAACACAGTCAGATAATCAGTAAGAATCCCTTTAATAGCTCTAACTTTGCCCCCAATGTCCAGATTGCCTTCTGGCTGGAGAAGAACTCTCCCAGGAACAGCCTTTAACTGCAGGGAATCAAGTCCAAAACATGGTCAACAAAAACTGTAACTTTAAGTCAATCAAGCCAAACTGAGGTAATTAGTTTAGCAGGGCAGGAACAAGGATTCCAGATGTGAAGGCACAGCAAAACTCACACGGTTGGAAAGACGCCAGGAACACAGATAAGCAAAGACAACACAGGATAAAGTCATGGTTGCTCCCAGCAGCTGCCACAGTCAGCATTCAGTTCTTTTAAACTTTCATCCCAGGTGTGGCTAATGAAGGGAATCAGAGCCCTTTCCTCCCTTGTAAGCCACACAACCCACATTACTCTCTTTGTTCCTCCCTGTGTGCCCTAGGATGAAGAGGGGGTGGGCCTGGGTCTTCCTCTGAACTCTCTTCCCCCTGCTCTGCCCAGCTGGACTTTGCCCTTCCTCAGCCTCCTCCACAGCCAGTGGAGCCACACTTCCACTCCCTGTCATTCTCCTTGGATTCAGACTGACCGGCATGACAAAAAACCCCAGTGTTTAAAAAGTGTATATTCCATCAGGAATGCATAACACAATTGATGCATTTTGGTTTTAATAGATGACCAGTGCTATATTTTTTATTCTATGCTGTTTTATTAACTTGTAAAAAATAATCTTGTAGCTTAAGAATAGTACACATTTTATGTTTTGGCAGTAGATGCCTTTTATTATTTGTAGCACACCTATTATCATAAAAGTAAGGAGGATACTGTAGATCGGGATAAAAAATATCATATATATAATACTGTTGATTAATGCATTGTTTCCAATTCCTCTCTTCTTCTCTCCAACCTTCACCTCACACCATGTAGTCTTTGCAGTTTTTACCATTTAAAGGACGTGTAGATTTAAATAATCCAGATCATACGTTTTGGTTTCTAGAAGATCATGGAATTTATCTAGGCAACAGTACAGAACAGCCTATTAGCTTGTACTTTGGAAGATGGGTGAGTAATGTACTACATTAATAATGAAATCATCGGTTTTTAAAACAATAACAATACAACCATGGCAGATTGGCAGAGTGGAATATGAAAGAAGTAAATGTTGAAAAGTATGACTTTATGGATGATATAAAGGAAATAGATGTACTATGTGTCTCAGAATTGTTAAAGCTTAGATACTGTATATGTTCTCTTTATAATTTTCAAGTTAGTAGTTGAACTCTATTATTTTGAAAAGTAAAATAATATTCTGGACTGGAAAGCATATTAAGAGTGCTGTTTTTAATGTGTTCAACATGGTAACTTGATAAAATCTACGCCTCTGTGTGTTTGTTAAAAATAATTTTTTATTTGTTTTTGTATGTTTTAGAAGTGCTTGGTAACCAAAATAAATCTTTCTTGTTCTTTTTTTCTCACTGCCTTCCCAACCATGTATTCCACAGATTGCCAATGGACAAAGGGAACTTATTGAATCTTACAGTGTTAAAAAAAGACATTTTATTGGGAACACGAGCATGCATTCCGGCTTGGCTTTTATCATGGCAAACCACGGAAAAGTAAAACCAAACAATATTGTGTTTGATCCTTTTGTGGGAACAGGTATCCCTCCTCTCTTTCCTCTCCTCCAAACTTTATTAAGGAAAAAAGACATGAAATGTTGTACATTTATAATCTGCTCATATTTTATTTTTATTTCACTAAATTTATCTCGTCATCTCCCAAGTTTTTAGACAGAAGAATTTGCTTTTGGGAACATGCAGTTTCTATAGACCTTTGGCAATCTAGATGTTGCTAAACAACAATTCCCCAGCAGCCTCAGCCAGTATGGAAATGCTGAAGCATATTGTGAGTGGAAGTTAAGCAACACTGAGAATGGGTACTTGGGCATGGGTTTTCCTTCCTGCTGGTAAACAAAGTTATACAGATGCAGTATATATCGTCCACATATAATTATGCAACTTCCTCAGTAATCTAAATGTGATTTACTCCCTAGGCTCATGCCTTCTTTATAAAAACCCTAATGTTAATCTTTAGCTTTGGAGCTTCATTATAACCATACCAGATCACTGCTTAGAATTTACAACTACCAAAAAATATTCAGCTTAATTGTTTTATTCATGCAGTTCCTGTTGCAATTGATATCAGAAGTCATTGGCTTCAAAGAAACTGCAGCATCAGTCATATACCCTGGAAGCAGTTCAAGAATACCTGTTTGATGACTAAAATCTCAGCAGTGATTCATCCAGAAGGAAAAAAGAAACAAGGATAGTTTATATCTATGACATTGCCCCACTATGGTTCATTCCAGTATAACCTCTCAGAAATCCCATACATTTGGACTGACGAAAACTGGTTTATAGAATATTTTGGAAAGGAATACAGATGTTTAGGACTGAGGAGCTGGTGGCTTTATGCAAAGGAATTTGGAGATGGGGAAGATAGGAACAAGATGCTAATAGGTGAATCAAAGAATGGGCCATTAATGAGGGACTTGGAAAACGGATTGGACACTCCTGAGACTGAAGCAAATATGACAAACTCAAGGTAATCCTGTCTTGATTTCATATATTTCGTATAAGACAGGACAAAAAAAAAACTTGGAGAGGCTTTGAAAATCGATGTCAGCCCTTCAGATTCAAGAAACAGAAGACATTGCTGGAATTCTAGAAGAATTACACTGTTATGGGGCACAAGTGTTGATTCTTGAAAGCTTCTTCCAAATTTCCTTCTACTCATCCTGTATTGAAGAAAATCAAGACAGGGTCATCTTGAGTTTCTTTCTGATGCTTGCTTCAATTTCTGGACTGTAATTACTTCTCCAAGTTCCTCCTTAAAAGCTCATATCTTCCTTCCTGCCTTTAATGGTTGTTTCAAACCTTCCCCAAGGTCATGCTTAGATTCCTTTATTGTCTATAATTATTTGATACTATACCTTCCTTCTTGCACTAAAGTGTATGAAAAAAAATCCCCTTAGGATTTGTATGACCAAGGAAGCTATCTGTGTGCTCTTTGCTCTGAACAAATTTCAGATTTTATACTGAAGTTAATCATAGATCTTTTAAAAATTTGCTGTGTTATCTAAACAATGCTATTTCTTACGTGACTCCAGATATTCCTTCAATTAGTTGTTTTTCTTGAACAAAACAGTAGAGGGTGCTTGTGTCACATGTTGTATGAGATGCACTTTTTGTATGACATAATTGGTTCAAAATCAGGTATGCGCTAAGTAGCAATAGATTAATTTTTCTACAAAGACAGTTTAAATATTAATATTTAAAACAATTTGCACTAGTGAGAAAAGGTGAAGCTTCTGGCAGTAGAAATAAATGTTCATGGCCTGAGGGCTGCCTAAAACAATTGTCAAAAATTATTATTTCTGCATGATGATGTCAGTCGCCTAGTCTATGCTACACAAACAAGGCAAAATATTTAAGCACTCCAAGTATGTTGGGAATGACTATTTTTATGAATAGTCGTGCTCCACCCTACTGTGGAATATTTGGTGAATTATAATAAGCATAGTTTATTCCTTTTCTTTGGCTTGCAGGTGGACTTCTTATAGCTTCTGCACACTTTGGAGCATATGTCTGCGGCACAGATATAGATTATAATATTGTACATGGATTGGGTATGTCCTTTTCATTATTTACTAGTAAAAATTAATTCATTACATAAGTCCCAAAACAGCTCTTGAACCCAGGAAATTTATCAGACAGTAGCAATTACTCACTACCTCACATAGTCTTTCTCATAGTGAGCTATGATAGGCAGACAATTTTACTGTCAAAAGAAAATGCAGTTGAATTTTACTCTTGATTGTTCAAGGAAGAGAGTGCCTTTCTTCAGATTAATTTTTCAGTCACATGGGACTTTTAAGTGGCTGTTTTCAAAATAGAATGATGGTTGATTATCCAAAAAATCTAGGGGATGTAATCAACTAGTCGTATATGCATAAAATCCCAGCCAAAAGTTGAGAGTCATGGGTTGATTTCCTTATAATGTGTTGATTTAGATAGTCGTCATTTGTAAAACCAGAAGGGAAATTGCAACCACACTGGTAACTGCAAGGTTTGTAATTGCAAGCCAGGCTCTGAGTGTCCAGATCACAGTCTTGTGACTGGGTTCTTCCTTGTGATGACTGGAACCCCCAAGACCAGTCATAAGTCTCCCTTGTTCAGCACTATTGTAAGTTTGAATGGTCGCTGAAAGAACGGATGTAACCTGAGCCTTATCTGTTGCAAATGCTACCATGCAAGTTTTTGTTTTCTAGAAATTACTGAACAGTTGTGACTATTTTATTATGAATTAGGTGGTATCATCATTGATGTTCACATGCGATCAATTTAAGGTGAAGAGAAATATTCTTACCAAATGTTATTTAGTTGAATGGAATATAAGTGAATTGCAGCGACAAAAGAAACATTGGGGATTATTTTAATCTCACCATGAATTTTTTCCCCTTCTTCATCGGTCTCAGGCAAAGCTAGTAGAAAGAATCAAAAGTGGAGAGGACCTGATGAAAATATCAGAGCCAACCTTCGCCAGTACGGTTTGGAGAAATACTACCTTGACATATTTGTTTCTGATGCATCAAAACCCATATGGAGGAAGGGAGTGCAATTTGACGCAATCATTACAGACCGTAAGTTAAGATGCAAAACCAGAAATAGGGTTATACAAGCTTATTTCTGTGAATGAGTAAATAAGCATTTGTTCTTATAACCCATCTTCAAAAAAAGTAAAGTTAGTACATGTGAAGCATCTTAATTTCAAATGTAATGCTTGCATCTGGAATTTCCATAAGCTAACAGATAGGAATTCTAGGTGTGCATTGCAAAATATGATGGTTTCTCCTTTAGTTTTCCAGCCAAGTTACAATAATTTCCAATGAGTATAAATTATTAACGGCTTAATAATATTAATGGAATGCTGCATTGTTTGCTGCATGTATGTTATATGTCTTGTTGCCTTTCCTTCTTTCTTTTTTTCTAGAGTAATACCATATGTCAGAGTTTTCCTACCTTTGCTTATTGGGCTACTTTTTTATTGGGATTGCTTAGAAAAATTCCAGTAATAAGCTAAATGAGCTAAAATAAGCTAATAAGATAAAATACCTCTTTGCTATGTATGATTATGTAATCTAAGAAATGTGACTTGGTTGGAAAAGTAACACGCAATTTAACACCATACCAATGAAATATTCACATGGAATAAATAATGTAAAATTATTTTTTTGTTTAAATTGAACCTATTTAACTCTATTAGTTGTTGAAGCATTGTGAATTTCATAAAAGTAATCAAATCCCATCTTTAATGGGATTTTTTTTCCTTTGAATCAATACTTTTAATGAATCAATATTTAGAAGGTATGAATTATAGCATTATCTTTGCTCTGTTTCCCTCAGAGCAAAAGTGTAAATTAGTGGTTTAATACTGATGGTAAAATGAATTCTCTCATTAATTGCTTCCAAAAATATTTTCCATAGAGTATAAGAAGAAAAATCTAAAGTATCCTTCATTTATTAATAATCATCCGACATTTAGAGGAGAAGGGGCACGTAAATCTAATAAACAAATAAAATAATATTTAAATGTGAAAATGGACTAAAATATTAAACTTACTATAAAGTAAAGTAAGAATAGTTTTACAACAGTGTTGAAGTGTGAACAATTAAAAATGTACAGTTTAAATGCTGAATTAAATGTAAAATAAAAAGCAGTGTAGAGACCACAACTGCTGTGAAAGCTCTGGAGAAGGAGAAAAGGGGAGGTTGCCCACAGATGCTTGGAATGACAGCTGAGATCCTTGTGAGGAGACAGCAGCCTCCCACAGGTTTGAGTGCCAGGAGCCAAGGGAGACAATCTTTGCTCTCAGCAGCATTAGAACTTTTAAAACTTGACCTTAATTCAGCTAAATTCACTTTCTAATAAGTCAGAAATGCTCAATTTAACCACTTTATGGCTTTCACAGACCTTCAAGACGGCAAGCTTAATTTGACGCCTGGTATGTTTTACCTTTTTTTGGATTTAGGAAATTTTAAACGGAAACTTAGGAATTTTTTTAAAAATATACCTTTGGCAAAAAAAAAAGTTAAAGTTTTAAGTGGATTGGAAGACCAGAGAGATTTGGAATATTGGCTATTTTTGTGATAAGATTTGAAAAACAAGTATACAATTAAATAATATATTTGTGGGAAACAACCACAAATTGGGGGAAAGATCTGGACATAAAACAGCTGCAACAAGAAACCCTGGGTGATGCCATTTTATGAGATTTACAAAGTAGGCTGGTGAAAGCTTTGAAGGCTCCTCTTGAATGCCAAGGATTGCTGAAAGATCAGATCTTGTGATACCATTGGAATGATTTAAAGGTTAACATTATGAAGAGCAAAAGGGAGAAATATAAAGATGGGAGTATTTGTTCAGGGATAAACTATTTGTTTGACATTTCTGGTAACTTCTAATGGACTTTGCTGAACCAGAACTGAAAAGGTGACAATTTCTGGATTGTGTATGGATAGAAGAGTTTTTATTTGTGACTTTAAAAAGGGGATGAAAAGATACTATAGCAGCTTATGCTTGGTGTGATGAAGGTTGGAAGCTATTTTATTATTGTCTTTGTTGCCTTTTTCTTTTTCCTTTTTCTTTTTTCTGCACTTTCTGAATTTTTATTTTGACTTTTTCCTCTTCTAGTTTACTTTTGATTCATTTTTACTAGATTTATTAAAAATACATAAATTATAAAGAATTACAGTTTAAATGCTGAATCAAATGATTTAAGTTAATGAACAGTGCCTTCTAGTCCTTGATTCAATGGAGCCTTTTATAACATTTCACTGGTTTCAGTTTGGGGTTTGTTGAGATTAATGGAACCTTTGTAAGCGCTCCCATATATTATCCAGAATCGCATCAAAGTTCTGCTGCATGTTTAACAAAACTTTAAACCTGATGCATGAGCAAGGGAATAGTCCATTTTAAGGAGGGGGAAGAGCATGGTGACAGACCACCCATCATTTCCAAAGCTCGGTGGATCTTAATGGTGAGTTAATTAATTAAAGCAATTAGCCCAAGGGAGCTTAGAGGTCTGGATAGCAGCAGATGCGGATGCCTCCTCTACATTCTGACTCTGAAAAGCCATTGCACAAAAGAAGAATTGCTTTCCAATATCATGATTTTATCATTATAAATACTTGCATTCTGTTTCCCATTCCCTTGAGATGCCCAAAGTGGTAAAGACAGTAAAAAGTCATTCAGGCCACAGCTCACTGAAAAACCGTTTTTTAAAAAGGATTTGTATTATGTTCAGATAAAACCAGCTAAGTCAGCAGGATCAAATTCAGTTAGCTGAATGTTGATTTGAAGACAGAGGTCTGATCTCTCTAGCTAAGAATTCTGTGCTGTGTTAAAAGATTAGCCGATGTATTACAGCATAGCCTTCTGTGGGTTAGTTCGTCAGTCAAGTCTTTATCAGTGACCAGATATAGGATAGAACATCAGAATGCATGGGCTAATCTGTGTGGGAACACCAGGTTATTTTAACTATCAATAGGATTTTAAATACAACAGATCTCCTTTGGGTCCTTGAATGAAGTCAGTGTAGTTGGTTCAACAATTGGATTACAGGCTTTGAATGTAGGTGTATCTGTTTGTATATTAAGACTATGGAGACAATACTTGCTGTTAATGTAGCAGTAGCAGCTAAAATTTCAGAGTTGTGTAAACCAATATGTGTCTTGTATTTATTTTCTTTGTAGCACCATATGGCATTCGGGAAGCCACCAGAAAAATTGGTTCACAGCGGGAAACACCAAAAATGATTGAAAAAAGGTAGGCAGAGCTTGGATTATGAATCACAAATCTGAACAGAAAGCTAGCTGTGGCTGTGAAAACATTTGCTGAATGCTGTAATCTTCTGCCAAAGTAGTAACCAATTCAATCATGCTGTTTTTAATTAGAGAGTTTTTATATAGCATTTGCTTGGTTTGTGTATCTCTTGTTCTTCTCGGATAAATTTTGGGATTAGGAATTTATCTAAATTATTGCTCCCATCTGAAAAATAGTGGTGCATTTTGGTGTAATCTCTGGAAAATAGATAAAACGAGCAAAAGAAAAGATTATTCACTAATATTAATTAGAGTTCTTCATCTAAATCTTACCAGATGTCATTGTAACTTTGAAGACTGGCAATAACAAATTACTAACATGCTGCATACATGGAAGAGCAGGTTTTCTCTCATGCATGTTTGAAACATGTATGTTTTTGAAGTTTTGGTTTATATGTTGAACAGGGCTGTTTTGTTCTTGATATGGAATGAAACATATTTCTGGACAAGAGTGGTTTTGAGAAGTGAGAGCAGACAAAATCCTCGCATGGTCCGTGGTAGCTAAGGAGATGTGAGGAGAGGAAGGCTATGGAAAGGCAGACAGTGGGTTAAGTCACACTGAGGTAATAGCAGTAGCTTGTGGAAGAGGATCAAACAAGCATTAAAGCCCCTTGGAGGAAGCGGGGAAGCCATGCACTCCACTTTTGCCATATTCAGCCTATTAAATCATTCTGGGATTCTGTGGGTTTTATTTTGGCAAAGACTCAAAAACATTATGGGTTTTGTTTTGCCAAACCATGGCTGATCTGAAGTAGTCTGGCTGAACTTTTGCAATATAATTGATTATTTGGGGTTCAAAGCACAATCTATCTTCTGTTTCATCCAAACTCCTATAAATAATTGAGTTTGTAAAGCCAATTCCATATTAGACATGTGTTATGCATGTCAGTAATGCTATGTTTTAAAGTATTGACCAGAAATCGTCAGTTTGAAATCTGTACTAAATATAATCTTGCATCATTTACCTTTTCAAGTCCCACTCCATCTCTCACCAAAGTTTATTAAATTTAATCGCTATGTGTTTTTCCAGATCCTTTTTGTTTTAATTTCTATATTACTGCTACAATTTTGCTCCTCTTATGAAGAGTGCATTAAACTTTCATAAATTCAAATTTTATATGAGAAATTCTATTTACGCTTATTCTTAATTAGAGTGAACAGACCAAGCAGATTAGTGTATTTTTAAAAGTTGGGAAAAAAACTTTTCATGTGATAGTTAATAAATATTTGGTTTTTGTTCTTACTGTGAAACATCCAAGTATCGATAACTGTTACTAATTACTTTTCAAACTATTTCCTAGCACTGAAAATCATAACCTAGTTTCTTCAAATTATCAGCTGAGTGATATAATCTTTGACCTGTTAAAATTTGCGGCAAAGTATTTGGTTCTTGGAGGAAGATTGGTCTACTGGTTGCCTATATACAAACCAGAGTAAGTCCCTATTTTATATTACAATAGCTCTCAGATTTTAATATATAGAACAGGAGAGAATAGATTCTGAAGCTGGGTGGGATATTTTACCTATTTGTATATTATTTTGTTATAAACACATGGTAATCAGTGAGTACTAAACACTGTGGATATTTGCTAGATTTTACTGAAAATGAAATCATTTGGATTTATTGGTAAACAATTTGCAGCTTGGAAAATGGGTATTAATTACATATGTAACTGATCCTTACTCTAATAAGCTCAGGATGGTAGAAACATATTTCTCAGATTTAGAAAAACAGATTAGCATTGTATGTACAGCTTTTTTAAAAAATGCTTCTATTAGGCAGATTTTAATAATTTATTTAAATAACTGCTGCAAGAAAATTCCACATGGTATATTTATCCTTTTTAAACCAAACTTTTATCTGCAATCTATCTTTTGAATCCCTTTTCTTTCTTTCTTTCTTTCTTTCTTTCTTTCTTTCTTTCTTTCTTTCTTTCTTTCTTTCTTTCTTTCTT